GGGTTTTTTTTTTTTGCCTATAAGCCCTTAAAAATGTTTTTCTTTATATCAGTGCAAATAATGTCAATCTGCCAATTAAAAAAGAAAAAAGAAGAAGGAGAGAAAGGAGAGGAAAATACTCATGGCTAACAGTCACTGGAAGCTTGGCGTATGTGAGGATCCTTGCTTGTGTAATGTACATAGCAACCTGAGAAGCACACTTTATATTAGCCTCGTTGTGCAGAAAAGGAGGATGAGTCCCAGAGAGGGGAATTAACTTGCCTAAGGTCACACAGATAATTGGTGGTGTGGGGAGAACTCAAAGATAGACCAGCTGACCTGAGAGCTTTATTCTTAACCAATGTGCTTTATATTTTTAAGCATTTTGGATTCTGGGATTGAAATAAAGGAATACATAAAACAAATGGCATAATTAAGTATAATACAACATGTAAACCAGCTGTCTTTAAAAAAAAAACCACCCAGAATTATAGTGTTTGCCACTTTCTATGGTGTAAATACTTCCTCTACGGTTGATTTCAAACTGCCAATGGTTCAGTACTCAGCTTGTAAAATTCCTGAATATTTAAAAATATTAAATCGTCTCTTTCACCAACTGGCTCCAGCATACCATTGACTGTATGATGTAAAGGAAGGAATCTGATGTAGGTTTAGGAGGCTTGAGACTTGGGTTCTCCTGCCTTTTTACTTACAAAGTGCTGTAGTATGAGTCACCTTTTTTGAACTTCAGGTTCCTTCCTCAGCTGTAAAACAAAGTTGAAAGACTCAATTGCCTTTCTTTTCTTTTCTTTTTTTCCCCCCAAGGAGCTTTAGGGAGGGTTTTCGTAATGTGAATTAATCAGTTTAGAAAGTATAATTTCTTTTTTTTAATGTCAAAATGGGGAAAGATGCTAGTCACTGAAAAGGTCACTTTTAAGAAGAAATGTCCAGTTTTCATTTTAATGCAATTCAATAAATATAGTCATTTATTCCCCTTCCGACTCCCACATCTTGTCTAGGCTCTTCTTGAATTTGTTTCCTTATTGGGTAATAATTGGACCAGAGACAACCAAAGTCACTTTGCAATTTCACCTTGGAAATACTTTTATTTTCTAAGGCAAAGTTTCTTAAGTGAGGACATTTAATAGAGTATCCTTTGTAATCCTATTTATTGTATTGCATATGCACATAAAAGCATTATTGAGAAGTGATCCACAAACTTCACAACATTGACAGAGTGTGTGGCAAAAAAAAAAAAAAAAAATGGAGAATTCCAGAGGCTTTAGGAAGAGAATATTTTCCCTTTTTTTATGCTGAAGAGCACAGATTTCTAGCAAAGGCATTGAAAGCCAACATCCTCACTGGCCTCTCTGTCAAAAATGCAAAAGGAAAATCAAATATGTGCCTTATTCTTCTGAATAAATACCTAAAATTAACTGAAATTTATTAGGCATATTGAGATGTAATTGACTTTCTTTCATACAGTGTGCTATTCATTTCTCCACCCCCTCCCTTTTTCTGTTCCTTGCTACATAGTCTTTAGGTCAGTATTTATAGTTGAGAAATAGCATTCCTTCTGTCATTGGGAAGCATGTGATTTCAGGGTAATCCACAATGAAAGAAAAGCTCTATGTTCTCAGGTTGGAATCTTGGATGTCTCTGAGCTATCTTCTCTAACAGGAAGATGACTTTAGCATTCCCTCAATCCTGTAATGAAAACTGAGGACCTACCACTTGCCAGGCAGAGTGAAGGCACACACTGAGATAAATGTGTCACGTCTTTGTGTCCTTGTCTCCAAAGACCTCCCAAGTCCACTGAGGCGGGCACTAGCTGAATAAGACGTCTTGAAACGAGTTTGCTAGTCAGTGCTGTAAGAAAGCAAGGTACAAGGAGCTGTGGAAGGGAGTACCCACCACATGCAGCCAGATTGTCCCCACATACAGAGAACATATGGGTCTATCACTGCTATATGTATTTTTCTGTATTAAAATAATTTTCTTTTTATGGATTTGTACAGAATTTAATAGTAAAGATAAAGATAGATAAATTTAAGGATTAATTTTCATTTTTTCATCTTTGTAGTTAACTATAACGTATATAATGTATTTGAATTTCCAACCACAAATTCACTTGTGCAAAAAAAAAAAAATGCATGGGTTAGGCATGGTGGCTCACACCTGTAATCCTAGTACTTTGGGAGGCTGATAAGGTCAGGAGTTTGAGACCAGCCTGAGCAAGAGTGAGACCCTGTCTCTACTAAAAATAGAAAAAGTAGCCAGGCATGGTGGCATGCGCCTGTAGTAGTCTGAGCTACTTGGGAGGCTGAGACAGGAGACTTGCTTGAGCCCAGGAGTCTGAAGTTTTAGTGAGCTAGTATGATGCCATTGCACAAGATCTGGAGTGGCAGAGTGACACCCTGTCTCAAAAAACAAAACAAAATAAAAAAACCAAAACCATGGCATGATTTAATCAGTGGTTTTCTTAATCTTGGGTATATGATAGAATTAATGACCTGGAGGAGCTTATAAAAAATACCAATGTTTCGGCCACTTCTCCATAGTGGGCAAGGACTTAAAAAAAACTTGCGAGCAAAACTAAGATGCCTTCAAAGAGGGTGAGACGCTGTCAGAGTGTCTCCTGCTCCAGGGACCCACACTGACCACCAACATTCATGGCACACACTGGCTTTGGGGCGGCCGGGCTGAGCCTTCCTCACCACCACTGGACAGCGAGCACCTTGGACACAGAACCTGTCGCATGATGAAGCAGGAGAATGGCCTCCCTAGAAGAGCCCCTCACCCCTCAGAAAAGATTTCCTACCTGGAAAGTAGGTGCCCGAAATCCCACAATTAGATAGCCACACCTTTTCCGGAAGCTTGATTTTCTTCAAAATTAGAAGTGCCTCCAAAGACTTAACGCCAAAACTTTTTAGTGATTTGTATAACTTTGGGCTCATTTCCTGACAGCGGGTTTTGAAAGGAGTTAGCAAGGTAAACTTAGGAGACTACTGGATTCAACTGATGATAGCTGGAAAGAGAACAGGAAGGGAAGCCCATGTTTGGCACTTCTCAGCACTGGTCACCCTAAAAGTGGAATCAGTCCCTTATTTGAATATCACTTAATACCCATTATAATTCTATAATGACATGAATGATGCTTTTCATCTACTTTTGACCTCTCTGCTGTCTAGAAACATCCTCCTTCAAGCGGGATTCATGTCAAGAGAAGCAAACAGAAAGATAAAATTCATGAGACAGAAATGGAAAATGAAATCACTGCAAACTCTTACAAATTGAGCAGCATAGGTCGATGTGGGAACCCTTGTATACTATTCATGCAATATGTGTGTATCATTCTAGCTGAGAATCACAAGCACCTGTCCTCAGAGAGACCAGTCATGGATTGTTCTGTAGAGCACTTAGCACATTCTGAGTGCTCTGTAAATGCTGACGATATGAGGTTATCTTCAGAGGATGTCTCCTCGGAGAAAGGTGCTATGCAAATACTAATATTGTTATTCTTTTAGCACAAATTTATAATTGACTTTCTGTTAAACACTGCAGCAAGTTAAATTAATTCAGTATGATTACAGTCATTAAACAAATGCCTGGTAATGACGGCTTTCTTATTTTAGCAATTCCTCAAACCACTGGGGTAATACCATATAAGGCTTTTTGCTCCATTGTCAGATTAATTGGGATGCACAACCTGCGTTTCATGATAGAGCATGCACATTGCTTTATAGCAGCCGGACCATGATTTAAGGCTACTGCTGGACTAATTTACCGTTGAGTTCTCCCTATTGCTCTTGCCATTTTGCTAGCTACAATTTTCTAGTTCATTACAGCATACAAGTAGCTTAAGGCAATTTTTACCTGCTCAGAAAGTAATGTGCTTTGCAAACCAAAACACGGGCAGGAATTCTCCCACAACCACTCTTGTGATGCTGACACTAGCCAAAATGCCAGGGACAACCTGTTTCAGGTTTCAACCTGTTCTAGCATTGGAATGGTCACCCCAAGAATGACCTGCCAACTTAGCCAGCAGGACAGAAATAGTTAAGTCCCAGAGGCTGTGAGTTAAAAGCTCTGCCAGAGAGAAAAGCAGTGTAAGATGTCCCCTGCCAGGTGTGGAGGGAGAAAGGCTGCCCTCCTCAAAGCCACACTTGCCGTTCAAGGTCATCTGTCTGGTGCCACCTTAGAAACTGGCCTGACTCTGCAGAGGACATTGAATGATAACACCCCTCGAGTCAGCTGACTGCCGAGTCAGAGCTGCTGCCGCTGCCGTCTGCATTATTGCAACTGCCAGCTCTGGCTCCCACAGCGTCCCCGTCGCGACTCAGCACAGCAGAGGCATACAACTAGGCACAAAGCAAGGGAGTTTCAAAGTTTTCTCTTCCTGCTCCTGCTTAGCATTTCTTACAGGAGGAGCATCCGCCTTTGTTTAGCCAGGAGCAGAGATGCAGTCTGCACGCACAGGAAGGCAACTTTGCAGCGTGAATTTTCAGCTGAGCAAGTACTGCTCGGAGCCTTGTAACCACGCTGCCTCTGATGGAGCACGGCTGCCTTCCCACCTTGTGTGTGCATAGTTGGGGGCTTCCCGTGCCACGCTGCTCTACCTGCAGGAATAAAGGCTATAGGACAAAGGAGAGGACGCTTGCCACGGCTTGTCTGGCCGGGGCCTGTGGGAGCCACTCACCGCGGTGACGCTGTGGGACTCCCCAGCTCGCATGTAAGGCTGGCGGCGCGGCCGGCGCAGATGCCCGCTCCTCAGTTAGAACACGGTTTAAAGGAGAAACCAGACTCCCTGACCTAAATCAATCCCAGTCCTCTCTGGATGCGGGGCAGCTGTCGACTAGCAGTGACACAACCAGACATCAAGTGGAGAACCGTTGTGACTGCAGTCTGTGTGCAGGTGGAGCCTGGGAGAATGACAGTCTAATTTCGGTCATCCGATGGCTTCTTCTTATTTGCCTAAATAATTGTGCTCGCTAAGTGTACGGTTGTCTGGATTAGCCTACCTGCCACGCAGTCCTCATCAACTCTGGCTGGAAATCAGGGTGCCAGGCAAGCCGGCTTTAGCTGTGGCTCCTTTCTGCGTCATGCTATGCAACTAGGATGGGTCACGCTGACAACAAAGAAGGAAGCAGAGAGCATCACTTTCTCTTCTCTTGTGATGTTAGCGGAACATAACTCTTCATCGCAATGATGCCTTCCTACGAGTGTGTGCATGTGTGTGTGCGCGCGCGTGTGTGTGTCTGTGTGTGTATATTTTAATTCATCTAATCGAAGAGCCTCACAGATATCATCATGGATGTGGTTTTTAATGATTTTGGAAAAAAAAAACAGCCTGTGGAGACAGCGATTTGAGACAGCGGCACATTTAGGTTATTGCCAATTTGAGATACTTGGTTTGTGAAGCCGAGCCCTAAGGGACGAGCTCGGTAACTGAGAAAGAGATCGTAGATAAAGAAATAAAAATGACAAGCGTAATGGAGGCTCTGCAGAGGGACTGTCAGAGCATCAGTTCATGGATGGCAATTTCGCCAGGCTGAGATTGAATAATTCATAGATTGAAATTACCCTGCTTTCACCTTTCCATTTAAACTGGCATGATCTGAATCTCTAATAAATTTTCAAGATAAAGTAAAATGCCAATTTGAATCTGAAGAGCTTTTAAAACCAGATGCTGCATCCCTGAATCTTTCGGTATCTTTCACAATTATCCTATGAGAACAGCACTTCATCACGAAGCACCATTACCAGGGAAAATTACTGTGATTACAATAGCAACAATAGAATACCATCAAATGATCTCTAATTTACCTAATTTGCTAAGACTGACTGTGTGGTTTTAATATCCATTGTATGTCGCCATGCCCGGCATCCGTGGAGCTATCTCGTGCTGGAACAAAAGTGGCATAGTGTGTGTGTGCTACCTTAACTCCGAAAGCCTAGTGAAGAATATTCTCCTAGGTTACAGTGTTCCTTTCATTTGGTTTGCATTTTTGTGTTTTCGTTTTGTTTTGTTTTTTTCTTTTCCCAATGCCTGTACCTCAAATACCTGTTTTGGGAAATGGCGAGCCTGTCATGGATTGGGGGTTTATTTTTTGATACAGAAGAGCATTAACTTGCTAATTAATATACCCTATTTATTTTAATGTATACAAGCATGTGTTTATTAGAAAGGAAGAAAGATTCTGTTCTGGGAGAGCAATTTTAAACTGCAGCCAAGATGTAGTGTATGTGTTTGTTTCTTCTTTGAAACCCCTGTCTGCTTTCAGAGACATGTAACCCTGGTGTGATGTGTTAAAAGCCTCTCAGACTGAAAAGAAGCTCAAAAGACACAACCCGTAACAACCCTGTAGAGCTTTAATTAAAAGCATGTATGCTTGATTCAGTGATTAAATGAAACTTTGGTATGACTTGGGTTGTGTTTGTACCTGCTCACTGTCGAGTAGAAGTCTGCACGAAAGAGAACTTTCCCTCTGAGAGGCTGTGCACTTCATCTCAGGGTAATTGTGATTCCTGAGAAGGTGGCGTGGATCATAAATCCTCCCCGGAGAACAGACTATAATCATGTAATAGGCATAATGACTTCTGGAATTTTACTTTCAATAGCATGAAGATAAGTTCCTGCTAACCAAGTGATTTCTTTACGTTCGATTCTCTAAGGTAGGGTTTCGGAGGTATGACAACCATTTGGGAGGAAGGGAGGATTGAAACATGCCTGTCCAACATTCTGGGCTTTTTGCTTGAGACCTCTAGCTCTGATATGTTCCTTAATCCATGATCACAGCTTTGCCCCTACCTGTGTCCTGTGCCCTCACAAACAAGTACCTTTGTCAGAGGAGGTAAGTTGTGTTTCTAATCATTTGTATGATTGAATGTATGCTTCATTGTCTGATTTCAGTGAGCGCATTGCTTTTTACATAATCCTTTCTTTGCACTTACTGTTTATTCTCACTACCCTGGAAAAAAAAACTCACAACTTTTCTTCCCCTGTATTTTTCTAAGTACAAATGAAAACGTGATGTTTTAAAAAGTGATTTAAATATAGTTTTTGTTCCCTTTATCTAACTAAATACATTCAAGGTTTTAATGCTTTTCAAAGGAAAGGGGAAAACAGTTTTACTTAGTGAATAATTGATTTAAAAATAGTAAGCAATTCACTAGATATCAATTATGTTACCACACTGTTTTCTTTAGATAACTCACATTGCTAATGCTGAACCCATTATTCTTTTTCTCCGAGAGAGAGGCTCGACTGTTAGTGACAAAGGGCTTTTCAAAAGCCCACGCTGCCTATGTGCCGGAGTGTTTTCTTTTTTATTAAAACATAGTCTTGATATTCTGCAAAGAGTTTTTAAGTTCTAGCATCTTAAAGGTGTTCAATAGTCGAAGTGTGAGCGGAGTAATCCTTGATTGAGCAGATTGGTTTACATGTCTGATATTTAAGTAATACAGGAATCCTAAAATCATCTAGGAATAATTGGAAATCAGACTTGCATCACTTTGGGGGAACCCATTAAAAACTCATTCTATTTACTTGATAAAAATAGCAAATTTGGAGCTTAGCATTTTATGATTCAAGCATTTATACTTTATATTCTTAGGAAATAATATGGGGTTTGTTTTTTTTCTTTAGGGTGTATGTGCCAGAATATTAGCCTTTTACATATAGTATGAGTAGGAAGTTACTATTGTGTGTTAGTGCTTGATATTAAAATTCACATTTTTTGCCACAAAAATGGTAAGATCCATCATATAGAACTGATAACTGAAAAATCTTGAACTCCACCATTTCTTTAAAATCAAATTTTCTTTTCAAACTTTATGTAAGCAAATGTATTTGAACATAACATTTTAAAATAGGTTCATCAGATACTTTTTAATCCATTATTGGCAAAATTTTCACTATTTAAGGCTATATCTTACTTATAATGCCTGGATAAGCATGACATAGGTGACAGAGACTACGAGGATAACTTTATAATTGCAGGCAATTTGAAAATAAATAATCAGCTGTGAAAGTATACTAGCAGGGGTTAATTTTGGTGAAATCTCAGACGATCATGGGTTAACATTATTTTGTTTTTCTTTTTGGTGGGCATGAGAAAGACAAGTAAAAAATTATCCCCTCCTTCCTTACTCCCATCTCCCAATCACTCCAGAGCCTCAGCTGCAGTTCCAAAGAGTGATTTAAAATTTAAATATCCAAAATCACACTCATGGAATTCACAAAAATGCCTACTGTTTCAGATACAATGAGTAAATTTTATCACTTAATAATTGCAGTCACTTCTGGACATTAGTTTATTTTATATTTCATCTCATTACTGAAGTCCAGCTTGGAGCAAAAAAAAAAAAAAAAAACTAAAGTTCTTCATGGACAATATATTAATCTCTTCTGAATCTTTGTTAACTAGTTAACAAATACTCTAATGAATACATATATTTTATATATAATCAAATAGGATAGTCATAGTTGACAATCATAGTTGGACTTCTCTAATTAACATATTTTAAAAGGACAATGGCATAGTTTATTTCCCCCTGTTTATTTTTCCAGAATATACAAATGTTTAGAATTACATATATTGCCTTTGCACCACCCAAGTCAGAGCTACAAGTGTACCCATTCCCCAGACCCTTAGGTTCCCCTAAATTTTAAGCAGGTAGCAATGAAATGTGCCTTTACCAAGTACCAATATTTGTCCTATACTAGTCTGCCAAAGAGAAAAGGCAAGACACAAAAAACAGGTAAAGATAAAAGAGAGCACTCTATTTAGCAAGCTTCTAAAATTTTTAATGGCATGATTTTAAAAGGCTGGTAATCTTGTATATTTTCCCCAACATTTTATTATGAAATTTTTAAACATACAGAAAAGCTAAAAAACTTTGAACACCCATGTACCATCCAACCTAGACTCTATACATAACATTTTACTGTACTTGCTTTGTCACGTATCTATCCAATTATCTACCCTTCTACTCACCCATCAATCCATTTTCTTTTTTGGATGCATTTCAAAGTAAGTTGCAGACATCGGTAACGCCTCACCCTTAAGGATATATATGCCTGCTGAAATGTTTAACTAGATTTCAACGTTTGTTTACACTGATTACCTTTAAGTAAGAGTTGTACATGTATGACAAAGATAGAATTTTGAAAAAAAAAAAACAACGCACTGTTGTATTTTATGTGGCATAGTCTGTCCCTTTGACATGATGAGTAGCTGGATGCAAACCCTCATGCTCCTATATTTCAACTTGGAACGTACAAATCCCTCATTTTGCGGTGAAGGGAAACCATTCGTGGTCGAGGTAGACAGGCCTTTCCCAGCCTCAGTCTCTGTGTATCCCCCAGGTCAGACTTCGCCACCAAGCCGGGGCCTTCTGGCAACTCACCATCAGGACTGGGACGCAGGAGGTGTCAGGGCATACATAAGTCATTCTCACAGTCTAGTCTCGTTCTTGCATCATCTTTCCTTTCTCTCTCCTGCAGGTATGTGAGAAGTACCCATTGGCCTCTCGAATAATCACCAACGGTTCTTCCGCCTGGACCCTTCTCTGCCTCTTCCCTGTCTTCCCCCCCTTTTCCCACTTGGCTTTCTCTTTTCCACTTTCTACCTACTCCTACATTTTGTTCCTCAGAAACAAGGGGACAAACCTCTTCATTTCTCAAGTCATTCTACCGCACTCAATTTCACGGAAATGGTTACAGGAGGCAGAGACGAGGGATTAAAGAATCACAAGAACTCTTAAAGGGATTAGTTTCTCTTGGTCTTAATTAAAAACGTAAATGAGTGGAGGATTGCCCTCTCAAGACCTCGTCACTAATTCATCTCTTGGATCCAGTCTTGTGGACGAAGTTTATCATTCCTCCTTTAACTGAACCCTGCGCCAAGCTTCCCTGAGACGTGTATTTGCATAGCTCCTAAGAATGAGGGCACTTTCTGTGCTTCCAAAATCCGCTGAGTTTCCTAGACTGCAGCTTCCTGTCCCGAACACTTGTCTGTGGCACTTCCATTCACCAGTGTCACAAGGCCGAATGCCCTTGGCTCTTGGCCTCCAGGGTGGGGAAGTTCCCAAAGCT